GAGGCTAATTGAGATAATGTCACGCGCTGGATGGAAATTCTTGGGTGAAAATTATAAAAATCAAATTATATTAAAAATGAATTGGGTGAAAATTATAAAAAACAAATTATATTAAAATTGACTTGGGTGAAAATTATAAAAAACAAATTATATTAAAATTGACTTGGGTGGAAATTAAAATTGACTTTGGTGAAAAGTATATAAAACAAATTATATTAAAATTGACTTGGGTGAAAATTATAAAAAAAAAACAAATTATATTAAAATTGACTTGGGTGAAAATTAAAATTGACCTGGGTGAAAATTATAAAAAACAAATTATATTATTTTTCATGTCCCTTATCAGCCACCGTAGGCCACGCTCACAACCAATGTTTTTTGTCTCTCGCAAATGGCGGGCCTATAGTATATAAAGTTTGTCCATATTTAAGAATCCAAGAATCCGTAAATAATGGTGCGCCTGTAAATCTACCCAGACCTTGTTACCTGTAACAAGTCCAAGATACGGCTTACAATACATCATTATTAGGTACGTCCGTATTTTCCCCAAAAGAACCAATGCATCAAACATAATCAAGCTATTACTGTCACATTCATATTTCCCTATTTACTTTCCAAAAGATAAATGCACTGATAAATGCTTACATGTTCAGTAATAGAAATTGAAATAGATTACAACAGATAGTGTAGGAAAACTACTATCATTAGACCTTTTATATGGATAATTTTGCTATGAACCATCGCAATAGAAATTAGTGGCAACCAATATAATTCAAATTAAAATCAAAATCAGTGCAAACTTTGTGATTTGCAAAGAATCTGTGGTGAGGATAACTGCACAAGACAAATGATACAAGTTATGCTAAAAGCTAAAGATCCTAATTTTAAAAAATTGGGGGTGGGGGGATGGTATCATAGGAGTACATGACATAGCAATAATATCAAACCTCCTTAATTTTATCAATGTTTTCATTCAAGTAAGTACCAATCAGTTTGGTAACATACTATACTAATAAAAAACCCAAATAATTAACAAATCTGCATGAGGCAAGGTGTAAAGTTGTTACTCTAACCCTTGTAATTCCCTGGTTGTACGTGAGAAGGAGTAAGGTCGCCTTTCAACCCTTGTGGGTTTCCTCCGGGTCCTCCCACTGCTAAAGACCCCTATTCACAAGCAAATTATTGAAATACACATTTAACGAACCCAGTGAATATACAGCTTTTACCATGTTTATTTGCATTATTAGTCGTTTAGATTGGACAAAAAACCAAGGTCCTGTGTACACATTTGAGTGCACGTAAAAGATCCCTTGGCAGTTGGAATTTGAAATAAGAGTAGGCCGTAGCGCCATTGTCTGAGCAAAATTACCCACATAACAATCTGTATGGCATATGCCTGTCGGAGCAGAATAGTAGGACGTTAAACCCCATTTCATTTCATATTGCAATATTTCATTGGCTACCAAGGTGGTGTGCCTATCAGAAATTAAAACAAATAATGTATATTGGCTTACGAATGCAAGGTCAGTCAGGGGAGTTAAAGTGGGGTGGGGGGGTGTAGGGAGAAAAATAGTCGGTCTCAAAAGAAGTGCATTTGGTTTGAAAATTATGCAGCGGTGACTAAATGAATTAATGAGGTAAACAAACAATGCCAAATACTTCATAATAATGTATGAATATATCTGTGTATATGTTTGATTGATTTTGTTGGATATCATAATATGTGCCTGTCTTTCCAATCTCAAATTAGTAAAAACTGTTATGTGTGTGAGCTTGACCTGATGGACACGATCGATCTTCACAAAGCTGCTGATTTGTGGCCAAACTTGACTAAGCGCACACACTTGATGAAAATATGAGGACATAGACATAGTCATATCTTTGCTAATTTATGTATATTCACTACAACAGTATATCAAACATATAGGTCGATGTAAATGATGTAATTATCACCCTCATAATTCTGCAAAATCCAGGAAATGGCATTTCAGGGACTCTAGATTCAAAAATTTGTTGGGTTGGGGGGAAGCATGTCCCCGTACTCCCCCTTCCCCTCGAAAGCTTGCGCCAGTGATACTTGGCTCGTGGCTGTGTCACTCGTATTAGGACCTGTGCATCAGTCGGTCTTACTTTTGCTAAACACTCCCCCAAACAAAATCAATGTGTACGCCCCTGAGGCCATTTCAATTTATTTTACCTTTGTATTAGAAGATGGGGCTTCTGTACATCATTCAATGAATTTTTAATAGTTTACACAACAGGACCCCTGATTTCTAATCTTGTCACATCTTCATTATTATGTTATGTTGTATCTTTAATATGCCATAAAAGCATATAGAAGATGCTTTATCTATTTCTGATATTCTAATGCCACTTTAAATAAACTTGTTGCCAAGATACAATAGAATTTAATAAATAATTATATAATATTGAAATCTTTTAATCCATTGCACAGTAAAAACACAACTTCATACAAACAAGTAAAAGCATAAACAAAACAAAACAATTAAAAATGACAAAACCATGGACTTCTTTATACTATGCAAATTCATAGAAAGAAATATTCATTTTGATAAAAGCTCATAATAGGAATATTATCCAAATTCATGTGTGAATAGCTAAAATATAACTCACATAAAAATGTCAATGTTGTGTGAATTCATATATTTGTTTTAAAGCTTTAAGATAAAGCAACCAAAGAAAAAAAAAATTATGGCAAACAAACTGATTACAAAATGCAGATTGATTTCTTTTTGACAAGCACAATCAGAGTTATTCACATTGTAAGAAATAATTCATCAAAAATTAATGCATCATAACATTAATGTGCATATGAATGGGATTTAATATCTTATCAACACATACTTCATTCATGCGAGGGAGAGAATTTTGCCTTGACAGTGGTGTTTTCATCAAACTCCAATTGTCAACTGTTTTCTTTTTCATGTGCATTCCAATATGTACATACACTGTAACCCAGGTATCATTTAATCTTGTGGATCTAGCACTAATTTCTTTCACATTTGTTTATTATCAAATCTTTGTTTAAAAATTCGTAAAAATCACCCAAAATCATCTAATTTGTACATGTGTCTAGTTTAAAGCTGACTGATTAATTTTGATAATGAGTGTCCAAGTATTTAATTTCCTGACCACTGTTCAAAAATTAGTCATTATACATCAATAATCAATTGAGTTGTTTATTTTTTTAACAGTGATCGAGAAATTCTCTTGTAAATTGGACACTCATTATCAAAACTGAATGGTCAGCTTTAAACTGGAAACAAGTACAAATTAGATGATTTTTGGTGATTTTAAATGATTTTTAAGAATGTTTAAACACAGATTTGATATTGAATGAATGTTAAAGAAATTAATGCTAAATAAATACACAAGATTAAATGAAACCTGGGCTACAATGATAGGTGCCAAATAGGGTGGGGGAGGGAGGGAGAGAGAGAGAGAGATGGGTTTTAATGTCAACTGACACAAACTAGGTCATTTTGGGACTAACCTATGGTTCAATTTTATTTCAATAATTTGCTTGCGCATAGGGGTCTTTAGTAGTGGGAGGAAACCGGAGGACCGGAGAAAATCCACGAGGTTAGACAGACAACCCTACTCCTTGTCACGTACAACGGGGAATCTAAACCACGCCAATTGACTCAATGACAGACCTTATGCTACGGCACGCAAGCACTAACTATTCGGCCATTCAACCCCCCTCCCCAAATTGGGTGGACCTCCACTTTCTGTCCCATACAAATGACTAAGTACCCATTCCTCGACAGTCCCACAGGTGCCATACGGTTCTTCTTGGGACTGTCTAAAGCTCAACCAAACAACCCTTAAATATGACTACGGTGATCGCCAGTCCCATGTCCCAAAAACCAGCCAAAATGTCCTGCAATTGCACATGCAAGATTTCTATATATGCATGAAGTCGAACAAAAAGTACTCTCATAAACTCATGAAACTATCCTGAGTTGTTATGCATTCAGGAGAAAATGACAAGTTATCGCTACAAAATCAGAGTATTTCAGTACTCAGATTGCTGAGAATGACATTTTCGTGCATGTAGTTTTCAAAAAAGAATTTGGTGGGGGGGGAGGGAACCCCCATCGCAGTCTCATACTTAAGGCGTTCGAGGTGAGCAGCTCTGCCGCACACAGAGCTGCAGAAAACTACAGGAAATTTCCCACAATATGATCAAGCAAAGGTGGCCAGCCTCAATATTAAATTCTTCCTCACATTTATTTCTTATCTTACAGTAATACAGTGCACAGGTCCCATCTGGCCATCACCACTAAATACATTACATTAGAATTTCTGAAGTTTAACTACCCGATAGTAAACTCAGATTATGTGTAAAATTCCGAAACGGTATCAGACCACTGTGTAATAAATATTTCAGTGTTAAAAGTCAGACTGGTCATAATGAAAGCTCTGGTCCCGAGTTCACAAAGCATTCTCAAACTTAAGTTCAGGGTTTTTCGCTTATTTTTACTAAAATATAGCCCTTTATAAAATTTTTGCTGTTTTGATTTATCAAATACATCAATAAGAAACTATGTGCATAGGTTTGTGTTTGTGCATCAAAGATATTTCTTATAAATAGTGATTGAAATTTGAGTAAATTCTAAAGTCTGAGAATGCTTTGTGAACTCAGGGCCTGTTGTAACATAGAATATATGGAATGGATAGAAATCTACCCTTTTTCAATCATTACAAACAAAGCAAATATTCTTCGAGTATCAATGCAAAAAAACCAGTAAATAATTATGCAAATTCAATCTGTTTAAAGCTTAAAAAATACAAATATATACTATATATAATATATATATATATACATAAAAACAATCAACCAATTTCATTTTGATTAAAGCTCCTAAAACCATAATCTCATACACAAATAACTATAATGTTAAAAAAAAAAATATCTCCATAAAACAATATACCAAAACTTTTTGAAAGCATGTAACAGAATTTTCTTAAATATGATAAAAGGTTATGGAATGAAAGGCATAAAAAGCAGCAAAACTATTTGTCATAGAAAGCATAAAATATTTGCATCAGATCGAAATTACTTGATTTTCGAAGATGCATGTAGTGTCATCCACCCAAAAATCAAAATTTGAACAGACAATAATTTTGTTTTCTTTCATGGACTATAGTCACCCCTTAACATACTCTTCCAAATATCAATTATCAAAGCATTGCACAAAGCAAAATAGAAATATTTATGCTGTCATGAAGCTTCATTTTCAAAATATGTTAATTAACTGTTAATCACAGCACAAAATAATACTATGTTGTAAATCTGATATACTTTGTATAAAAACTAACAATAATACTGTTTGGTATTAGTCACAAAAATACATATTCCTAAAGCAATGGTAAGAAATATGAACACATTAACTATGGCTCCATCAGACAGAAATTAATTATGTGAAATTGTTTACATTGGTCCACACAGTTACCTTGTGGATTAATAATCAAAACATTATATAACTGAATCATACAATATGGTGTTACCATAACAAGGGTACCAATTCTTAAAGATCTAATTATGCTCATAAACATTGCTTCAGCAATATGCAAAAATCCAATAATGAGTTTATTATGTATCTTATCAAAGGGCAAATTAAAAGCAAATGAAAAACTCAGCAAGTTGTCTTCTTGTTTCCTTGTCTTAGTGATTCATTCACATAATATTTGTGAATAATCCTTTGACCCCTGGCCCAAACGATTTTTAAACTGTTAAATTGTGCTAACCTGTGCCGAGATTAAATCATTTTGAAAGTCCTTCTCCATGCTACCAAACATCAGTTAAATTATGATGTTAAACATTTGATGAAATAATGACAAAATAATTCAAATGTTTTTTGAAAAATAATCGTTATTGAGGAATCAGACTACTTTCTTCTCCCTGGTTTTTCGTGGAAGAGGTACACTCAATTCTTCAACTCGAGGGGTTGGTCTAGCTCGTCTTGCTCCTCTAGAAACTTCGTAGGGGTCGTAATCGTCTTTTATCATTGTTCGACTTCGAGGTCTCGATAGTTGCTGTAGACGCAGTGATGCTAGCGCTTTAATAGCAAGGTCTGACACCTCCCACATTATAGGTTTAGCATGTTGAAAGTCTGAATGATATGGTTTTGCTTCAGCTAAGGCTTCGACTCTTTCTGAGGCCACAGCTTTTTTTGCAGCAGCAGACACTGGTTCTCTTTGCCCCCACCGTGTTTCCTGGAATTAAACAAAACAAAAATATTTCACAAACCCCTGAAAATGTCAATAAGTTTATCTCAGTCAAAATAATTCTTAATCTCCCACTACCATTTCAAGTAAATCATCTTAAAATCATCAATATATCTTTCAAGTAAGTCATTACATTTCACTCCTTTCTTTGACATTACCTCAGGGACAAATGTCATTGGAAGCAGTGTTTAGATATCTGAAAATCCTCGAAAATTCATAATGGTGACACTAAATGTATGAGTAAGAATTTTATGATTCCGCTGAGTAACTGCAAGTACTCCTTTCTCCAGGTTATTGCACGCAATTAAATATTCAATTAGATACAATGACACCTGATTTTAAGATAAAACTAAGACTTCTAGAAAGTAGACTTTATGAAGAAAAAAACAACTCTACTATGCTCTATACTGATCTCTAGCTTAAGAGACCCCCAGTTGCGAGTGTCGCAATTAGTTAACTGAACAGTCAATCTTTATTTCAAGCCCATCTCACTTCAGTTGCATCTAAGACAGATTAGATATGTAGAAAATCTACAGGACAGACTTTTTCTCAAACCCATTCCCTGTGTCCCTTATCCATCAAATAATTCACTGTTTCAGTTATGACCAGTAAAAACAAGCGGTTGCTACGCAAGATTGCAAGAAATGGATGGGGAAGAGGTAAAATCAATAGGGCTCATCCTCTCGTTCAAGATCTTTTGATCCTTAGCATATTTGTAAAGTTTCATCAGAATGGGATAACAATTTTGGGCCCTCTGGAGGACCTACACAATTCCTACATATTTCACATTTTGCATAAAAGCAGGGGGCTATAGCTCCAGAATGTAAGGTCTGATGCAGAACAAGTCGATTTCATCCAAGAACTTTTGATCCTTAACACATAGTTTAAGTTTCATCTCATGAATCGGATGAAAATTGATGCTTCAGGAAAGCCCACAAAATACATTCATATTTCACATTTTGAGTAAAAGGCAGGGAGCCGATGCACACCAAAATTAAAACTCATCCAAGAACCAGTGATAATCATTTTAAGTTTCATCTAACTCAGATAAAAATTGTGACCATGACCTGGGTATTTCATGCTTTTATACTATTTTCGTAAAGGAGAGCAGTGATTTTCAGGAAATTTCAGATTTTCAGGAAATTCGGACTCAAACATATTATTGTGTAAGGGTGATATATCTGAACGGTTTTCAAAACAATTTGACATCTGGAGGGTCCACTAAAACATGATATTTTGTAGAGTCTGGGGTCATAATCCAAAAAGTTACGGTCCAATATGCGCCAATATCAAAAGTAACCCAGAACTTTGCGATATGTTCATGAAATTTGAACTAAACCTTAATTATAGTGTAAAGGCGATCTATTTGATTGAACGAATTTTACAATCAAATAAAAACAGTGACCTTTAGAGGGCCCACAAGCTAAAATATGATTGTTCGTTCAATCAGGGGTCAAAATCTAGGAAGTGATGGTCTTATATGCACGAATATCGAAAGGAACCGAGATCGTGCGGTTATAAACATACATTGTAAGTTTCATCAAATTAAGATAAAAATTGTGACCTTTAGAGTGTCCACAACTTTGGTATTATTATGCATATATTTGCCAATGTCAGCCTCACAGGAAACCACCATCGACTTTGTTTTCATGGTAAGGGATTTAGAAAAGAAATAAGATTTTACTTCATTGCTGAGTAATTTTATTAGCCAGAAATCGCCCATAAAGCGTCTCCCACGATCTAGACTCCCAGAAACTTCCAGGGCCCTGGACCCTTGTCTAAAGTCTTTTGGTGGTAGCCCCCCCTCAATCAGGAATTGCTTCCGCCGGCAATGCTCTAGAATTAAACACTTACATTAACATCGTAACGATCTATCCTAGATTTAGGATTCGCTAGATCCTCTACCCTCTGAGATAATTTAGCATTTTTAGCACCATCGGTGATATCTGTATATGGTGAGCGTTCCATTTGGTGATTTTTATGAGCATCTCTATGCTGAGCTAGAGTTGCTATACGTGCTGATGCTGTGGCTCTTAGAGCACCTGCTTTTACTTCCCATATTGGAGTAGGCCTGAAAATGAAAACACATTATACTTACAATAAAAGGGATGTTTCCAAATATTTACCATTTAATAATACCTAAATATCTGATAAAAAAGCCCTGAATAATTATTTTAACTTGAAATTATAAGTCTACAGTACATAGGTTACCGTAACATACATGTAACCCGGCCACGATCTATACAATGAGGATTATAATAGTATTCTATATAAAAATTCAACCAAATCCAAACAAAATCTTACTTGTCGAATTGATAGTTGGGGTTAGCATTTCGATTTTTGGATAATTCTTCTACACGACCTGAAACTTCTGAAATAGAAAGAAATATCTCATACAATGTTTCAAATGCAAACCTGAAGTGATAACTTAAGGAGTTATCCCCCTTTAAAATGTTTCCCTCCTTAGGCTGTTAGATTGTTTCCACTTAGACATTTCCAAATACATATATCCATATTTAACTACAAAATCTACTTTCAGCCTTCTGTAAACCTTTGTTTTCAAGGTAAATATCTCATTTAAAGCTAGGCTATCACTGAGAAATATCATAATACTACATCACACATTATTATTTCAAAGCAAGTTTTGGACAGGACTAAACCGTCTGCATTTTCAAAGGAAAGGGAGGCGCCAAAGAGCAAAATTCCACATTTATGTAAAATATAATTTTCATTCAACTTTTAATACTGGTTATATAATGAAATATTTTAACATTAGCAGTGGCATGAAAACTAAACACATTATTCAAGAGCTAAATCTGCCAATGGCAGGTCTTAATTTCTTTAGGCCTTATATAAACTATTAACTAACATATTTTATTAACATGAAAAGACCATAATCAACTCTCGATGCCATCTCATGGGTACAATTTTGAACAGATTTGAATGCAATTCAATGGCAGTTTATGATTAACAATAAATTTTTTTTATTCTAACAACGGTAACAATGACAATCGAGGCTACAGTGTTTTTATAATTCGGTTTTCTCGGCTCACAGAGAAGTAATTTGACTGAAATTTTCAGCATATTCTCTTTACGTTATCTACTTTTTAACTATTATAGCGAGAACTGTCATCTCTTTATTTAATCTCCCATAATGCCCCTTTAAGTTAGGTTAGGAGTCTTTTGCATTTTTATGAAAATTATGCAGGGGTCTTTTATGAAAAGTAAGTTAGGGATCTTTGGCAGTGGTATGAAAACTACCGTAAGTTAGTGGTATTTGGCAGTAAGGGAAAACTGGGGATCCCGGAGAAAACTCAACAATGACAGAACTTATCATCTACGACTCTATAGTGTCTCCAATAGAATATAAAAAGAGGTTGATGATTTGTGTGTGCAACAGGCATTTTGCTGTGGATTAAAACTTTTTAAAACCTCTAAAACAGTTATTCTCTCTCACTATTTTTCATATATAGGAGATTCCTTTTCTTCTAGAGAAAGTCAAGGTAATTATTCTTGTTATAACAGGACACAGTTCTATCTTATATAATTACTGTGCCAAGTTTCAACCAGTCTTATATATCATTGCTTGATAAAGACTCCAGAATTCTTTTAAAACATCATTCAAAAATAAACAATAGTTGCATCTCATAGAATTGTTTCCTGTGTATTTCACTATTAACTAGTTAGATTTGATATGATATGATATGGTCTAATGTGTCTATTGACTATATTTATGAACATTATGTGATAGGTGATGGTCTTTCTTGAAATGGGCATGGTGGGACTCCTTGCTGAAATAGTCTGTGTGAAATCCTAAATGTTGTTTGGCCTTTTGACCACCCAATCCCCTAATTAAGTTAAAAATATTACCTATAGTTGTTGTTCCATTTGGACCTGTTTTTAATGGTTTATGGTCAACCCAATAAACAGAGCGCCTAAAAATGAATATAAAGGTTATATATGTATTTGACAATTTTCTTCACATTATGGATTTCAAAGTGCAATTTCACTTATTATCAATTTCACTTTTCATCAAAAAAAAAAATTATTATAGCTAATTTATGTCACCAAAAGTTCAAATTCCTTTACAATCTGATGTAAATTTTATTTTATGTTTTACACATAGAATGAGAGGTGATTATGTGTGAGGTCATGTCAGCTGTCATATACATGAACTTTGATTAGTTGACATTAATTTTGTTGTCTGTCAAACTATATGTGTCTCTTCAATGCACAGCTCCTGTAAATCTTAACTAATGAGACCATTTGTTCGGATTGATATCTGATATTTATTACTGCATAAGTCAATGGGGCATAAATCTCACAGCCTGTATAGGACTGTGACAAATCATACAGTGTTTGAAGGTTATCTTAAATATACTTTTGCACACATAGATCTCCTGATGAATACTCCAGTTTTATTATTTTATTACCATGTATATTGTATAATTTAATTTGGCTTCCAGCTTATTTCTTAAATAATTAATTAATGAGCTTGTTCAAAAAAATTAAGACTAAAAAATTAAAATTCTACCTAATTAACTTGATACAGAAGTCAGTAATTCTAATGGTGGTGTGAAATTCACTGGAGGGTCAATTTGCAAAAAAGTTACCTCTCAGAAATTGAGATTTTGGTGTTGGCTGGATTAGCATCATCCCAAAATATTTCACACTGGGCTGTTTTATCCCAATTTTACATGGGTGTATTAAGGAGCAGGGGTGGAGGGTGATGGGAGCCTATTTTTATCAGACATGTCAAACAACTTGACCTAATCAACCAATCCATCTGGAGTTTGGTATATACATGTAATGAAATGAAATGGGGTTTATCAACCAACTGTTCTGCTCCAACTGGGCTAATGAAGATGGGCATACACCATACAGTGTGCTATGAGGGAAGTTTTGACTGGGCGGTGGCACTATGGCCCATTCTTATATCGAATTCCAACTGCCAGGGGATCTTTAACATGCCCGCCAATGTATACATGAGACCTTGATTTTTTGTCCCACCCAAATGACTAAACAGCTGTCCTTGTCCTGCATTTTGGTATATAAAGATTATTACTTTTTGTAATCCCTGTAGCAGATAGCTAGAGTTATCTATGAAATGAAATGGAGTTTATATGAAATGAAATGGAGTTTAATGTCCAACTTTTCTGCATCAACTGGGCTTGACAGGTAGTTATCTAAGCATATTAATAACATAAATACATATACAGTGACATTAATAACAAATATTTAATATATTTTGTCTCTTATAGTTTGTGATTTTAAAATCCATATTCCATCTGCTTACCTGTCTTCCTGGAAAGTTTTCGGAACCGTTTTCGGTCTGGCTAAAACTTCTATTCTACTCATACCTGTAAAATGTATTCGCCAAAAATAAAAACGAATTCTGCTGGAATCACTTTACACATTTACAAGAAACTTTATCGCTGAACAATAGTAGTAATAAGTAAATTATTTTACCTTTTGTGTCGGCCATAATAATGACTTGCTGAGCCTTGTCTACCCAGTCCCCAATGATTAAATAAGATTAAAGTTTTGCACTGGGTAACTCTATCTACCAGACATGTGCCCTACCGTTACTATGGGTCGTTGTTAACGACGCTAAGGTGTAGTGTTTACACACATGATGGATTATGTAAATCTGTTGAAATATTCATTAATCCAGATATTAATCATTCTAAATAATTAACGATATTGTTACAACCTCTCTTGGTAGTTAAATTTCTAGTAAGAAATGGCGCGAGAACCGGAATACCCACTTTAGCGCTGAAAATAAAAAAGCATACTGTATTATGTTTTTCTCAAAATACCTAAAGTATGGAAAAATTGATATTTTGTAAATCTTATTTGAGAGGGTTATAAAAAATGTTTATGTATCAGCTGATGATGTAAACGTCCAAACGTACATATTATTGGAGAAAAGGACCAGTCTACATTAACCCGTTTGGTGCATAAACGTTTAACGTCCTAAATTTTTGCACCAACCGGGTTAATGAAGATAGCATATGCCATGTGGTGTGCTCGGGGGAGGGGGGTGGTCTGGATATATACTTGCCCCCCCCCCCCCAAAAAAAAATACATAGCAGGCCCAACCTTTAATCCGAATTATTTACAACAATTAATAGGATTAGTTAAGATTCTATCTCTATAAAACCTGTACATATCCCAATATGCATACGGCACCCCCTGACTTAAACATGATAAACATTGCATTGATGTGATGTTTTAGTTTAACCCCGTAAAATATGCCAAAACAGTGTTTACAGAAGACTGAAACTTTAATTTTTTGTATGTGGGGGGGGGGGCCACCCCCACAGTGGGAGGGCGATCCTCCCACACTCTCCCCATCGCGCTACATCGGCTGCTACGTAGCCTCGTGCCTCCGACGTCACAGATTGTCAACATTTTATATAATTTCATTTGCGGACCCCCCCCCCCCCAACATATATATTTCACGGCTACGCCTCTGCTGTCATGGGATCGTGTAAGTGGAGGGAAACGTGAACATCTTTACGATTTGGCCCTCTTTCCTGCCTCGCTGACAAGGGGTAACCACGCTAGAAAATCGGAAGTAACTTTCTTGGCCACTGTGGCTTCCATTTCTTAGAAAGAACCTATATTTGGTAAAATTGTCATTGCAACCCAACTTACCCAAGACATTTATGAAGATGGTTTTGAAAGGCCTTCTTCTCTGCATGGTAAATGGACGTCAAACACCGCGGGCCGCTTCATGGTAATATTCTAATTAAAGAGATTCCGAAAACTTAATATCGGAAACGTCACAACCTGGTAAAATACTGTCAGCTCATGACAATAGTTTGGAAACACCGCAGCCCTGGTCAACTAATTTCCGCCCAGTAAGAGAGTTTGGAAACACCGCTGCCCTGGTGAAAAACTTAACGCTTGTGACGAAAGTTGGGAAGCGCCGCTGCAAATGTCTGTCGTAGATTTTACAGTTGCCCTGGTGAAATATGCGAGCGGTAACGTCGACACATTATGAAATCGTACTTGCAATAGAAGTACTTCAAACATCTAGGAGTGGCGGTTGTCCTGGTAAAAATGTAATTTTGCCAGATTCCAAACAAGCGGCATTTTGTTTTATTGTATTAACATATCCAACTGTGTATTTGAAAATCCGATAAAAGATAAATTAAAAATAATAAATTAAAACGCCATAGGGACATTCTAGGTTCTTTTAACGATTGGGTGTGTGCGTGTCCTGAGTAATTTTTCAAGTACCGTAGGTGTGCCTTTCATATTCAATATGAAATTACGAGAATTACGAGTCTAGTATAATATCTCTGTCATAGATGACTGCCTGAACACGTGCTGTCACAGCACGCGGTGTGAATCATTGGCTGAATGGCGCGTGCATTGTTTACATAAGACATTAACTACTTCGGAGAGAATGCTGCATTTTAGTCATTTTAATACCCATTTACACTAAATAGGAAATAATTTTTACCTACAAATACGTCAAACGCCTTTATTTATTTTTCCAATATATACAAAAAATGTTTTAGAATTTAATTTGTCGCAGGAAAAAAGTTAATATTTCTAGCTCATTAAGCCGCATCAATGTCATCCTTATCAGTGATTGTCGCGGCCAAGCAAATATTCACTGCGGATCAGTGTGATTCAATAGTCGCATGACTTACATTGTCTGCCGTATCCCAGGTTTGTCTTGACAGGTTTCTCGTTTTGTTTGCTAATAAGTATGAAATGAAATGGGGTTTAACGTCCTACTGTTCGGGGGAGGGGGGTTGAATGGTTAGCGTGTGCGCGCTGTATCATTCTGTCATTGAGACAACTGGCGTGGTTTCGATTCCCCGGTTGTACGTGACAAGGAGTAGGGTCGCCTGTCCAACCCCGTGGGTTTTCTCCGGGTACTCCGATTTCCTCCCACTGCTAAAGACCCCTACGCGCAAGCGAATTATTGAAATAAAATTAAATAATATTTTAATCTCGAAATGACCTAGTTTGTGTCGAGTGGACGTTAAACCCTCTCTCTCTCTCCTGTTCTTTTCCGACCGGGCTATAATGAAGACAGTGTGTTATGCTGCTATGACGGAAATTTTGTCTACTCTTAAATCGAATTCCAACTTTTACGTCCACGCCAATGTATACACGGGTCCTCGGTTTTTCGTCCCATCCGAACGAATAGACAACCTGACAAGGGGAAACCACGCCGGAAAATTCCGATGAACTTTTTCGGCCAATGCAGGAATCGAACACGCGACCTCCAGGCTAGCGAGCAAGCGCCTTACCCACAAAGACTAATAAGGGGAGGGGTAATTCTTCTGAATAGCCGGTTGTGAGTAACGCCAAAAAGACCTGCGTCTTGATTTCAGCAGAATTCAAGATGTAAAAATATAATCCTTTTCCCGGAGATGCGTTTGTTTAGGGGCACAGATGGCAAACCTCTCCAAGTTCTCTTCGTTGTTAACCTGGTAATCGTTCAAACGTTTAAACGCGAATTCATACACGTTCTTGATTAACAGTAAGCCCAATGATTTCTGAATAGGATATTTCCCGGGTAGTATCAAACCGTATCACGGGATGTATCAATCTGATTAAAATACAGATCTATATTTCGTTTCGTTTTTTTTATACTTTCGATGGCCTATATTAGTGTAGTAAAGACAAGTAAAACGAAATTTTGAACTATAAAAACGAAACGAAATAGGATTTGTGTTTTAACCAGATTGGGGATGTATATGGTTGTTCAGGGGAGAATGCGCCCGAATATGTTTTTGAAAGTTTTAATATGCTTATTTTTTTTGGGGGGGGGGGGCACTAGTCGCGGCGCGGACTTTCTTGATTTTTCATCTTGACGGTGGCAACAAGATCATGGGGGAAAAAGCCCGTTTCAACTATAACAGGTTTTTTTTTTTTGGTGTAACGCAAAACTTTTAGGATTGTTTGGGATTTGAGGTAACGGTGACTAAAACGAAGCAGTCCGGGTTACATACATGTAGATATCCCTGTCAGGCCTTATGATCAAACGCACACGCGTTAACAATTCGGCCACCCAGCCCCCTTCCGTACAGTAAGCAATAATATGAAATGAAATAATATGGGCACCAACCGGGCTAATTTGAGACAAGCAAACCTCATGCAGTAAATGTGGAATTTTTCACGGACAACGGAGTAAACGGTGGTGGTGGATGGGGAGGGGCTTGGTTTTTCGTCCACCGGAACTAGGAGGAAGCCACGGTGGAAAACACCGAGCTGGAACACAGGATATATGCAGAGAACAATACCTGTAAACGGCTGGTTTGATGAATAATGAAATTTGTAAAACTATATATGTGAAAACTATATGTATAGTATATTATGTACCCGAATATTAGAAGAAAGCTTTTTGAATTCTGTCTTTACGGTGATAGGTAAAGGACAATACCTGTAGGCCTATGTTAAAACTATAAGTACCCGAATTAGGGGGGACTAAATGTACTATATTCTTCATATTCCTGAAGCAATGGCCCGAGAAATCCCTCTCTGGCCATTGCTGGATTGGCTTCTGATACTTGAGCTTTTGAGGGAGTGTGTCTATTCTTCCCGTTCAATCAAATCTGTCCAAAGTACAGCAACATGATATCCCTTCGTTTAACCTGGGTTCTTCCCTAAAACTTTGGACAGTGATTTAAGGTATTAAAAACGGTGAAAGTAATGTTCGTCTCCAAAACAGTATTGTTTACATTGTATCATTGATAGTCATTAGTTTTTCTGCAATATTCTGCAGTGCACTGGTTAATTGGGCATAATAAAATCTTGAGTCATGACGTAACGTTATGTAAACATATTTGGTCCAATTTGGATCTCTGTTTAAAGCGTAATGATATTGTTACCCAGTTAGCTATTGGTTGTTAAACGAACTATTGACCAGTCATAATTTGGAACAGAAATTTGCTTCCATTACAGCAGTGTGATATTAGCTCTAATCAAAGGAAACACTGCGGGGAGTATGCATATTCTCAAACATTGTGGTCTGTTCCTGGTCCATAGTACGCCCGTAGGCCCAATTGTTTTATTAAATAAAGCGAAGACTTTCCCACTAAATCAATCACTCCATAGCCAAAGGCTGCAATGGAAAAATTGCAAAATCATATTCTAAAAAACAGGAAGAAGCTTCGGTTCTCCTAATTAGTCTTGTCTGCGATATCATTTTTGGGGAAGCAGACGTTAAAGAACCAAGATAGTAGCAGAGCATTGGTTATTGAATAAGCGCAATATCACTGGGCCTCCTTGACTGATATAAGCAATACGAGCAGTAAAACATATTTTTATAATTTTAATAACATTAATACCAAACAATAAATGTACACGACATAAATAAAAATGGATGCTATGGTGGAAAAAATAGTGATTTAAAGTGACAACATGGCAGAAAAATTCAAAAGCATTATTACTGAAAAAGAAAAAAAAATAATCTAAAACAGATTCATGGGGATGCATACTAATGGCTCAAGCTATGACCATTGGAAGTTTACATTGTGGTTTATTTTGATGTATTTAATTAGATGACAGTCATGGGTTTTTTAATCCAAAAAAAGTACATCAATAATACTTTTGAAATATCTATGAAACATTGTGTAGAAGTACACTAATAATAAAAGCATTATAGTATATTCGCCTCTAAAGCTGACCGCGTGAAGTTGGTGAAGCTATATATAGACAACGGAGACAAATTTGATCTTTTGTTGCAAATGGAGGGTATATTATACAAAAACAATCTATTTACAAACTTTGGGTAAATAATGAAAAAAAAACCCAATCTATTCACAAACAATATATGTATAAAATGGTGCAATATACAGATTTGCACGAAATCCGTTCATATGGCGTTCCTAGTTGGTTCTTTGAATTCCTTGTAAATTTATTAGGATTCAGCGATTATTCATTATCCCATACGCTGTGTTTTGTAATTACATAGGCCATATTCTATATATCAGCTTACAATACTCGTAAATATTCTGGGGACGCATGGGCTAGCATAAAACACTTTTCGACCCGAAATGTCGCTATAGCGGTCGGCCAAAAGCCGGTTTCTTAAGTGCCACTGATGACTATGAGAAACAATTTTTGAACATAAAATCCGACCGGGTTGTCGTAGTTACCAGAACTAATGTGTTACTCTTTAATATCTGTGGTATATCGTGTTCATATACCCTGGTTATGACGTCAGTTATATTCTCTGAAGTTGTCCAAACGTGTAAAATCTGTTTTGTCCAGGTTTCGCAGGAATTTTTGGAAGATTGGTTAACACCTGAAAACAGAATTAAAAACATATTTTTAAACGTCTTTAACAAAAAAGTATTTTAATTTTTCTCCCTAACCGCTAATGCAATTGATATTATGTATAAAGTTCATCAGCGACACAAGCTACCATTCCTCAATCCTCAACAGCACAGTTCTCACCAGATTTCGTGTTACGCTGATAGGCCTAAGTTGTTAAAGGGAGTATCCCGAGTCTCAAAATTAAAGGCCCGTATACGTATGAAATTTATGCGCCAAAATACAGATGAATGGTGTATTTACCTTGTCTCAAAATTTCATCTCAAAATATTGAGTCGTTTGGGCGTGAACGTCAAAGCCGCTTATCCGGACACGTAACCCTTTTAAGATTTCGTTCGGGTCAATTTTTTCGTTGGGTGACCTGATAATCGATTGCAGTTCCTTTAGGGGTCTATACAGTGCAAGACCCATGTGCTGTACCTGATAACGAAAGGTAAATGTCACCTACACGTTATTTGTATAAAGTAAAAGTCTGGGACACCATTCTCCATTTTCAGATGAAGACTGGCGGGTTTAAGTTGTTTGAAAATGTATCACATACATTGAGTTTGTTGCTCGGCCCTAAGGTAGAGGATTTTAAGGACTTTTAACACAAAATTAAGCAGTTTTATTCTCCAAAATATAATCTCCAAAATATAATCAAGATTGGCCCTTTAAACTGCGAGAAAATGACTATATGTAACACTTAAATCAATTTCGTCTTCCATACCAAAGTGCAGTGCCAGAATATAATGCCATATTTTAATATTATTTCTTGCTGTTCTACTAAAAATAATAATCAATTACAAAATTACTCACCCTTCAATTTTTTCGTTAATAAGTGCCGGGCATCTTCGTCGGTGTATTCGCCGTAAAATTTCATAGCACGCGTTACAGACACACCCAGACGTGTGCCATCAATATCTGCAACGTAATCCGTTATGGCACCACCATGTGGAAAATAGTTGATTTCCATTTCTGTCTGCAAAAGAATTTTAAAAATCGTAGTCAGGAAGAAAAAACCTCATTTGAAAACAAGTACAACCTGTTGTAATCTGTCCTGCAAATGAAGCATTGATCGGCAAAATTATTATAGCCAAATGTATTGTTTGATCTGCCATGGGAGAGTCATGGCCTGGTTTTTTTTCCGTTTCCAGACCTCCACGTCCCGAATGCTTTAATAGATTCACTTTTCATTTCTTGGCATACCTTATATTATGGGCCTGCATTGATCCATGTGAAAATCTTTTATTAAATTCAAGCATTAAACAACCCACTGGCGGTGATTCATCCCAACAGCCATTGTAGGGGAGGATTAGTGCTAAATGATATAAGGCCAGCTCAATTTTTCGTCATAGGTCACGAGATGTAAACAGGACTAGCACTAATCCCACCCCTAATCCTAACCCTGGACCTAGCCCCAATGCTTACCCTAACCCTAACCTACAATCTCGCCAACAATCACATGCCCTAAACTTATTTACATCTCAGCGACCTTGACAAAAATTGAACTGGCCTTGACAAATAGATCGAAAAGGCTAAAGAGAGAATACTTGAAAGATTGTGGAAAGGAGCGAATTTATGAACTTATGATGGGACAAAATATTGAAAACTTACTTTGACTAGTTTAGCCCCGAAGCATCGTCCAAGGAGTTCATATGAGAACACTTCAGATAATATCGAACTGCCGCCTGCATTTGGAACACTCAATAACTTCAAAGAACCAAGTAGGAATTCCATATTCCGAATATTTGGAAAAGGATCAAAATCACACTGAACAATCCCCCCGTCATTTTCATGACCGAGCAATTTCATAAATTTGAACCATGGCTGAAATCGAACGCTGAAATTAACACTTAGATAAACCTTCCAAGATGATAGGTTTTCTTGGATAAAAAGTTTTTTTGTCTGCTCCCTCTTCTTGCTGTTGAAGGGCAACGCAGGAGAAACGCCGGGAAGAGACCGTGCGAGAGAAAAAACGATGGTGTGAGGAGGATGAGGAACGGGTCATTTCTCCGTTCGTCGATCGTATGTTGCTCATTTTTGTCGTCTTTCGTGTCATTTTCTTGTCGTTCTTTCTTTCCAATTAATTTTGCTTCTGTAACATAGAACTTTCTTCAACTTAAGCACAATTCGTGGTATCACATTAATTTGTTTCAATTCTCGACCGAACGTCCATCCGATTCTGTATTTCTCTTTATGTCATCATCATAAGTTGCTGTTTGCCGTCAATGGTGCAATACCTTTATAAGGTATAACCCATGACGTAAAGATCTAATTATATCCGCTCTATAAATACCCTCCAATCCAAATGAAGCAGTTATATCGATTCACACAAGAACGAATCGACACAATAACCCATGCAAATGACGGATTCTCTACCGATATTTACTGCATGGACTCGCCTTACCCCGCATAACGACGATTCCATTCTTGTATATAGGTGAAAACAATTATGTATTCGATCTCGAAAGGAATTGGGTTAATCAATTCATTCATGCAAATATTAAAACTAATCGCATTTTATATGCAACTACAAAGATCAAATTAAATGAAAAAAACCCCATTTATTTCAAGTAATGTAGAATCTCGATCGAACAAATGCATTAAGAAGAATTTGTACAATACAGTCAGATATGAACGATCGTCATCATTGGCCTAGTCAAAACTCACTATGGATTTTTCATTCTTTAGCAAAAGACGGTTTCCTTTCGCGCGGAATATAAATAAAAGAGTGAGAATGCATTATGGACAATTACGTGGATCAAACTTTAGTAATACCAACAGAAAACAGACAGAAACGGAAAATGATTTGATCTGTAATGCTATCCGTAGAATGGGTTAATGGAGTAAGCTCCCCTATATCACCTAAAAGATCATCGATTTTTACGCCCGCTATATCAGCAACAGTGACTACGATTTGCAGTCTACAATCGAACAGAGAGAAAAAATGAAACCGGAACGGTGATTTTTTATTGTCAGGCATAGGCTATAATATATTATTCATTGAAATCTCTTATCGGCAATTGAAAAGGCAAAGGCATCCGCCAAACGCAGTCTCCATGTCATAGTGTGCTGTAGAAGGTGATTAACCAATATTACATAATGCGTGTGTCTGACATCAAACACGTTTTTAACCATTCGTATGGGACTAGTCCATTGTTAACATAAAAAGTCCCCACACAGTTGGTATCCAAAAACTGCCCAGGTAAAATTTGTCCCGACATAGCTGTAGACTCAATAACTGAAAGTCATTTCATTTCGAATCTTGATGAAAGCCATATTATCAACTAAAGATTTAAACATCCCATTCGAGGGCCCTGGATTAGAATGGCACAGATTCAAATCAAGGGATTTTCAAACTTGGTCTCCACTCAAGGGCAACTCCAGTGAGCTAAAAAGAAATGAAATATTCTGCTCCGACTGCATGGGCTAATGAAGACGGGCATACGCTTAGAAATGGTTCCACTACCGATGTCTTCCGTCTTGAGTAAGAATTATCACGGCTTCAACTATTGCAGCTAGCATACGCCATATGGTGTGTTATGAGGGAAATTTTGCCCGGAACGGTGGCGCAATATGGCCTTCTAGCTCTTATATCGAATTCCAACTGCCAAAGGATATTTTATGTGCATGCCAATGTGTACTCACGGGACCTCATTTTTTCATACCATCCGAATGAATAGATAGCTGTCCTTGTCAGGCCCTCTGTCCTGCATCACTGACAAGGGGAAACCACACCGAAAAATCCTGATGAACTTTCTGGGCCAAGCCAGCATCCCACAGCTAAAAAGAAAACTGTTGCCTAAACAGTCTCCCGTATACAGACTGGCGTGCATGTAAAACAACCCATGACAGTTGAAATTCGAGATGCGTAGACAGAAACGCTGTTGTCCGGGTAAAATTATCCCTGACATTGCGCACGTGACCATAGATAAAAAAATAAACGCATTTTGGTCTTAAAAAGACGAAAGCGTTAAACTTTAATCCTCCTATTTAATTTCCAAAGAATTAATCAAAATATTTGATTTCAGTTTGTACAATGAAAAACACCCCAAACAACTTTTTTCTTTTGCTTTTATGTACAGCTGTGAGTTTTCATGAATGGGAATTGGCGTTTTGTCACCACTGCCCTGGCAATATTCTCTACTATAGTTGCTCACATAAAATGAACGCAATATTATACAGGTTTGTATGAGACCCAACTGAATAAGTCATTAAAATCTAAAATTAAGCATACTTATCCATACTTGTCAGTGCAGTGTCGAAAATGCGCTTCCCCTCCCCCCTTCCCTTTTCAATGCTTAGTAACCATTGGCTTCGTGCCTATGTGTACATGTACAGGTGGACATCGGTTTTACATACCATCTGAACAACTAGACATACTTTCCATTTCAGCCCCAGAGACACCACCTCATGACAAGTGACAACCAGGCTTGGAGAACCCTGACATTTGTTCTTGGCTCAGGCTGGGATTCGAACCTGGCCAGTGCCCTGTAGCCATGGTCAACAAAACAAGAAGACAATTGGAGCTAAAATATACATAAAAATATATCAACGTTTAACCTATACATTCCTGTATCTAGCTGAAAAAACTTATTAGGACTAAAGTACAATATAGTTTCTCTACTATGGTTACGTGTACAATGGCAGAGCGTAGAATTTTGTTAGGAAGAATTAAACACTGTTCTGTGCCAGGCCCTCCGTCCATGAGGTCCGGGGTTCGATCTCTGCAGTGGTGACCGAGAAAGCTCTAAAGGATTTTCCAGGACATGGCAAGGAAGTGACAACTGGTCTGATGGTATGAAACACTGAAGTCCCATGTACACCTTGGCGTAAAAGAACCATTGACAGTTGTAAATTCAATTGCTGTCCGGGCAAAATTTCCCTTCCAGCACACAGTGGTGTATGCCTGTTTTCCTTAGTCTGGCTGAGACCGGTTGGGGCATAAGGTGTTAAATCCCATTTCATTTGTCAGGGTACACCTACAAGGTTGATTATTAAAATGCGCCTAGTCGTATGGGTGGGAAAACCCCAGGTCCATTTTGAGTACCCAGGCTGTGCATTTAAAAAAAACCCGACAGAAATAAAATAATTATTCTCAAAACTATACCGAAGTATTTTGTTGACGGGGAAACCTAGTTCTATTGCATTCATTTTGAGTCCTATATAAATCTGTAAGAATATACTGTAAGTTTTTCATATTATGCCCCAAGCTGACCGTTGGATGGTGGGTGTGGTTAGAGAACTAGACTCTATTCATGGCATGTTTTACTGCCTGAGAAAGCAGAAACTGATGTTTTTCTTCCACCTTTTTTTTTTTTGAGATATAGCCTGGCATTCTGGTTGGCGAATTCTGTGTGAAGACACAAAATAAAAGAAAATTTTTTGATCGCCTGCAAGATTCCATATAGGAAACTTTAAAATATTCATTTTCAGACTAAAATTAATACCAAGTGTTTGGGGACATTTAAATGCCCCCCCCTCCCCCAACACACACACACACACCCACACCCACCCCCACACACACTCTGCACCATCCCTAGATTAAACCTGTCTTTACAAATGATTACACAAAACGTAACTGACATCATGTTTCTCCGTTCTGGTCTATCTTGTGAAAAATTATAAATTGTGGTTTTGGTAGAAGATGTGGTGGTTCAGTGAGTAATATTCTGGCTCATTAGCTATAGTTGGTATTAGCTGAGAAAGATTATCGTGATTTTTTTTTGGTGTAATTTGGTTTCCTCTTGTCAGTGACGCAGTTCGGGTGGTTTAGTGAGGTAGGGTGTTTAGTTTCTCTATGTACCCTTGGCATGCACGTAAAAGAACCCTTTTACATTTGTAACGCCACTGTTCGGGCAAAATTCCCCTCATATTACTAAAAAGTAAAAAAATTAGACTGGTTGGAGCTGAAAAGTAGGACGCCAATTTCATTTGTCATCAAGAATTATATAGGGGTAAAACATGAAGTAAGAAATCTAGGCATATAACATACAAGGACTGAAAATCACTAAGTGTGTACTTGAAACCCTAAAGAATAAAGCAAGGCATATATCAGAAACCTTGGATAAGTTAAATTCAATTCAAAATTATTTCATATTGAGATATATTTTGCTTAACTGAGATGAGAGTAAGTCGAAAGAAACTTCATACATTTTATTTCAATGTATCTGATTCATTAATAAGCACTTAAATAAACTTTTCAATACAGTGTATCTAAACATTTCATTAAGGAAGTGTTAACTAAATGAAATCTGCTGGTTCCCTCTTGTCAGTGACGCAGTTCGGACGGTTTAGTGAGGTAGGTGTTTACTCTCTCGGATGTTTCCTCTTGTCAGTGACGCAGTTTGGACGGTTTAGTGAGGTAGGTGTTTATCTCGGATGGGGCAAAAACCTGTGTACCCTTTGGCGTGCACGTAAAAGATCCCTTGTACATTTGTAACTTCACTGTCCGGGCAAAATTTCCCTCATATTACTAAAAACTAAAAAAATTAGACCGATTGGAGCTGAGAAGTAGGACACCGATTTCATTTGTCATCAAACGTATCATATAGGGGTAATACATGAAGTAAGACATCTAGGCATATAACATACAAGCTGTTAAGTGTGTACTTGAAACCCTAAAGAATATAAAGCAAGGCATATATCAGAAACCTTGGATAAGTTAAATTCAATTCAAAATTATTTCATATTGACATATATTTTGCTTAACAGAGATGAGAGTAAGTCAAAAGAAACTTCATACATTTTAACTTCATACATTTTATTTCAATGTATCTATGATTCATTAAATAAGCACTTAAATAAACCTTTCAATACAGTGTATCTAATTAAGGAAGTGTTAACTAAATGAAATCTGCTGTAAGATTAAAAAAAAATACAATGGTTGGTATTGATTTCACTGTATTTATGTAGACCCTCAACCACTTAAGAATAGATACGGCAATCGGTCTCTTAAATGCCAATAACGGTAGATATCCACTTTATAACCCACACTAAACTAACCAATCAAAATCACCCATATACCGTTATACTTACAATATCATGGAATATGATGACGTCACATCACGTTATTCCACCATTGGCTGGAAAAGCGTGTTTAAATTATGCTAGTCTAGTTTTACAGGTCGGTTTTGAGTTAATCAAAGACAGGCTGAGCTTGGAATCAGGACGACTGGAATATCGTGTCTAAAATTATGCACGACGCATATATCTAATTGAGAGGTCGCGAGTTTTGTGGTGTATGGATGAAAGGCATTGATGCCTTGTCAGAATACATTTGGATTATATTTTTGAGCAGGAATCGAGCTGAAAATGGTTTAAAAATGATGTGATAAGTTCAAAAGACGAGAATGGCGATATACTGCAAGCAAGTTCGACGAGTCTAAGGGCCGTAGACTATACTAGCCTAGTGCATTTGGTTTTATACCAGTGTGAATATCGGCCCGCTCCTTCGCTTAATACGGGAAGATGTCGACGAGTTCAAGGAGACCATCGCTTCCCCCCATGCCGGACCTCAATCACCTTACGGAGGATGAGCGGCTGGTGATTGAGGGTGTACTCGCCCGCCAGAGGGAAGAAGAAGAAAAGGAACAAGACATGATTCGGTAAGGAATTATTTCTCGCTTTTGCTAGCGAGACGGCCATGTTGTTTTTAAAATGAGGCTTACTCAATAACGCTATTTGACATTCGAGTGGGGATTAAATTTTAAACATATTTTAGATGAGCAAACGCTGTGTGGCTGATCACCGGGTCTGGGGAATAAACGTCGGCAATCAAGAGGGCCATTATTTCGGTACAGGCTACACTCGTTTCGTCGTGTTTAAGCAAGGGTTTTTCCAAAAGCAATCATGCATGCATATCAGCCTAACTGTGAAAGTAACGGTATAACAGAATGATACATTGTATGGAATGTCGACAGACAACAAGATATTGTTAACGGCACATAGTCTCGTATTGTCCTTACTGCACATATATTTACGATAATAAGATCGCGTAATTAGTAAACCGCAATATGTCCACTGTAAGTGTAAAAGGTGAGAATTGGACATTAACTACCGGGGACAATCAAATTAGATTTGGTTACGACAGGTGTTATTGGGTGCATTTCATAGCCTAATTTACAAATGACAGCTGAGAATCACCCAGGCATGAAATATAGTTCAGGCGTAACAAAACAAAAACAAATGGCATGGTGTGGATGCATGTGATACTGATACTTATGAGTGTAATCTGGAATGCAGGCCTACCCACTTACACTTGCATATAATCAGTTAATTGGTCTCACAAGACTATCTTGCAAAATGTATACATTGACTTCATTTTAAAACAATACACATCATTTCATCCATTTTTTATTTATTAAACTATCAGACTATAGTTTCATGTCTATAGTGATATCATATAGGCCAATTGCCAACCAGAAAATATTGCATAATAAATTAAAAGCGGTAAATATGCACCTTTTGATAAAACTATAGGTAACATATTTTTTTTCAATTTTGTAGTACTTGTAGTTGTCTGTGAAATAAGTTTCTCTGCCTACAGGGTTACAAATTGCAACTTATTCATTCATTTTTATTAGCAAATTAGATGTTCGAAATACCCTGACGAACTGCCACATAAAAGTATTGGCGATGGCTTGACGTATGATATGAATTTTTTACCTTTCTTACTAAGCCAAGTGAGGTCAGTCTGCCTGAAATAACTTTATCTAAAGGGAGTTTCCGCAACTAAGCAATATTGAAGACAAGTGTGGGTTAAGATTAGCATCATGATGTGTATTGGTCCCTATAGAAATAACAACATGTAGGTTTATACATAGTATTACAAATCATGGGATATTGAGTGTTATGGTGAATACACAGGTTACACACAAGAACCATGTACATTGACTGTGAGTTACTGGAATGATATTTGTTTTATAGTGTGTATTCACTGTGGGAGTATACATTTATTACACTCTAGATCTAAGTATATTCACTCATGATATGAAATGAATTTTGAAAAACTGAGTATATGTTCACTGTGAGTTATTTTGGAATTAACTTTTATCACTAGGTCCAAGTATAATCACCCAGTAGAATGTATATTGGTATATTAATATATTAATATGGTATAGTTTCTATATGTATTTGTTTGTTTCATCAAAAGATGCTTTGTGGAAGAGTATTTATGAATTTCAGCCTCTATAATTATATACTATGAACCAAAAACACAAACCAAAACGGTACATGTAACATGCCCCACCTAATGTACAAACAAGATGTTCAGAACACATGCTATACTGTGGCTAATCTGAGTAGTGGATAAATATGAAAGTCTGGTATTATTTCTGTACGCCCACATTGAAATGTGGTTGTATATTGTCGTCGCCCCATCCGTCTGTCGGACCGACATCCACAATTGGTTGTGGATGCTCTAGAGGCTAAAGTCAATATCCAACTGACTTTAAATTTATACACAGTGTTTAAGGCCATAGTTACGGCCCTTGATCACATTGAAAAATCTTTGTGAACGTATATTGTCGTTGCCTCCGTCCGTCCGTCCGTCCACAATTGCTTGTGGATGCTCTACAGGCTAAAGTTAATATCCAACTGACTTTAAATTTATACAGGGCGTTTAAGGTTATGAGACGAAGAAGCCTTTTGATTTGCTATGATTTTCAATAATTACAACCAGAGTTATGGCCCTTGATCACCTTGAAAAGTCTTGTGGATGCTCTGGAGGCTAAAGTTAATATCTGATTGACTAGAAATTTATGCACAGTGTTGAAGTCATGAGACGAAGAATCCTATTGATTTTCAACGATTTCCGATAATTACTGCCAGAGTTATGACCGTTGATCACTTCGAAATATAGTTAAAATCCATTAGACTTAAAATTTATATACATGTACAGTGTTTACAGCCATGAGAAGATGAAGCCTATTGATTTTCAACATTTTCTGATAATAATTGCTGCCAGAGTTATGGCCTTTGAAGACTGAAATATTTTGTGGATACACTCATGAGACGATGAAGCCTATTGATTTTCCACGATTTCCGAGAATTACTGCCAGAGTTATGGCCCTTGATCACTTTGATATATCTTGTCATGTCGACACTCCAGAGGCTAAAGCTAATATCCAATTGACTTTAAAGTTATACACTGTGTTTAAGCTCATGAGACTAAGAATCCTATTGATTTTTAACGATTTCCGATAATTGCTGCTAGAGACCAAAGTTATCATCCGATTGATTTTAAATTTATAAACAATGTTTACAGTCATAAGATGAAGACACCTATATATTTTCAAGGATTTCCAATAATTACTGCCAGAGTTATGGCCCTTGATTACTTCAAAGAATCTTGTGTATGCTCACTGGAGTCTGACCTTCTATCCGTATATATATATGCATACACCATGTCCAACCAGACAATATACAATAAAAAAAGAACATTTTGTCACGGCCGCCATGCGCTGACGTCACACAAAAAGCTAACCAACCTCTGAAGTCTTGTATACTTCCGCCTCAAAATGATGAATATTCACCAATACCTGGCAGAAAATGTATATGCAAACCCTCTTCTTCGATTCTATACCCAAAAGTCAACAAAAATCGCCATGCAAAAGGGGGAAAATGGAAAGGGAGAGAAAAACTAAAAATATCTTTGGCACTTGTTTCAATGGTCTACTCACTGCGAATTGATTTTGTGTGACGTCGGCGCATGGCGGCCGTGACAAAATGGAAACGGACGAAAGTAATGTAAATATTGGAAACAAGTGGCTATGATATCGTTTTGTGGGAGTATTTATGCAAATGAAAACGACTAGATTGAAGAAAAAACATATCTGAGTGAATCGACAGAGGTTTGATTGCCTGACATTACGAATTGTTGAAAAAAAACAAGCCGAAGCGAGAGCAGGTAAAATCGAGTCTTCAACAGGCATTGCATTCCTGTTCTTTTTTATTATATATTGTCTGGTTGGACATGGTGTATGCATATATATACGGATAGAAGGTCAGACTCCTGTGGTATGCTGTACAGGCCAAAGTAATCATTCGATTGACTATAGATTGATAGAGTGTAGGTCTTGAGACGGACAAGTATATTGATGTTCAATGATTTTTGATAACTTGAACAGCTCAATCTATGATATTAAATGTTTTGTATACTACATGTAAACGTCAACATGGGGCAGAACTAGAAGTCAAACAAATTCTAATGATTTTCTAATAATTACTTTATGAGTTGTTACTCTTAATCAGATTTTAGTGTATAATAAATGTTTCATTACCAACAAAAGAAAATATATGTGACAGCTCTTGTTGACTGCAGGGACAATTTGGCTGCTGTGGGTGTATGTTTTGTTGCCTGGCAAACTATCTTTTACACATCTGGACAGAATGCTTTTGAGAAAATTCAAAATTCGGTCATACCCCAGGAAAGTAAATGTAGCCAATAAATTGGATATTAATTAGCAATATCCTCATTATTGGCAATTTGTTTCTAATGTGAATCAGTATGGTTTTTAGAAATTTCAAACTTCAAAGGTTATATACATGTATTATTGAAAAATCAATAAGGTCTCTGTAGTTAGTGAAAATACTAGATTTGGGAATAAAAGAAATGAACCCATAAAGTATATAAACTAAACATGATGCCCACTCAGACTATAGACTTACAGGCCTGCTGAGCAGACAATCTACTCTGGACTTCGTTCCCCCCGCCATTTTATAACTCAATCAATCATAAAATACCTAATTTCGGAAATCCCTTCATTATACTATTAACAAATGTTGTATTTGATTATAACAGTCTGCCTTATTGACCAGTTGTCATCATTTACATATCAGCGAATGAGAGATTGTGTTTCATAACACCGGCATAACTGCAGCCTTAAAAATAAAAATCAAGAACTATTGTCACTAGCTTGGTGTAGTTAAACATAGATTATGCAAGAGCTAAATCTGTCTATTGCAGGTCTTTCTTTAGGCCTGAAATGTTATCTAAATTATTATTAATTAGACATTAATTAACCTATCCAGACCATAATCAACTCTAGATGGCAGCGCTAGCCTGCGATCTTTAGTGGATTGTGAGCCGATTTACTGCATAACTTTCCTTCTCGATTTAACGATTAAATGGGTAATTGAGACTATGCTGTTTATTGTACTGACTTTAGTAATGATGACCGAGGCTAGGAGGAAATTTCAGTCGCTTAGTTCTCGGTTCATAGTGGATCAATTTGAATGAAATTTTCAGCAAATTACCAGCAAATTACCTTTACACTATCTAGTTTTTAACTATTATAGTGAGAACTGCCAACTCGTTACCGAATCTCCCATAATGTATCTTTAAAGAATTAAATCCAAAAGTCATAATGAATGAAAATCAAACAACTCACCACAAGACTCTTCGCTCAGAAGGGCCAAGAGGTATCAGATGTTCCAGTGTATTCTACATCATGTATTACATTGATAAGCACCCTAACTTCTATCTAAGTAGTATTGAAATTTTCATATCTTTTCTTACTTCCACCAACAGGGACAATTGTCATGTTTTTTTTTTATTGAAAAACTAAGACTTTTAATATTTAGATAAGAAGCGAAAGTTTGAAAG